TACTTTCCTTCTTTCTCTTCATGTGTGTGTGTGTGTGATTGTGTTATGTGTCAACACATCGTTACATGCATCATCATAATGCTTTGCATGTCAGCATGAATGTGGTAGTGTGCTCCCTGACAGCGACTTGCACTAGTTGACACTTGTGCATTTACGACAGGGTGTTGTGTGAAATCTGTTCTACAAGGTTACGTGTGATGACATGTGATGTGCCTGTGTGATGTGTCATTTACCATTGTAGCCGTGTGACGTCGTTCATGGAGCTTTCGTATTTTTCATACTCCACCGACTTGGCCGTGTGGTCGTTTGACTGAACTGAACTGAATGTGTATCTGTGTTTGTAAACCGATGAATACGTTTTGCAGAATGCGCTCTTTGATAGGTGTGCAGTATGTTCTTTGACACAGAGTGTACTACATGTATTTGATTGAGAGTCTACATACAGTACACTGTACATAGTATATATCACAGATATTCACAGAAAAAAAAATCTGTTAAAAAAATCTGTTTTGGGCTAATACAGTGAATTAATTACTTTATTATTTGTTAAACTTAACATTGTTGTACAAATCTTGTAACATAAATGTTAGAGGGATGGATAACTCATAGTGCAGCAAACTTCTGTCATACTATACCATATTGCCCAATACTAGTAGTAAACAAACATGTTTGTTTACATGAATGTGCATGTATCTGTATGTGTACTGACGTCCCTCATTTAACCCCACTAGTGACTCCATTTCCAATGTTATCAGGAGCCCTCCCCTGCAGGCTCAGTCATCAGTGGACTATCCTGTAACATAGCCCAGGGCTGAGTCAAGCAACAGATTGCCTCCTTCTCTTGTCATTAGCAAAGTGGGCATCAATCTTGCACGTTACAGGAGACATCATTCTCTGGCTTCTGAATAGATCTGTCTCCAGTGTTAACAGCTAATTGGCCCTGGCGCCATCGTAGCATTCAAGGTATTCATTTAGGTGCATTACAGGCGAAGGCTCTGAGGGCTTATGAAGGCGGGAGAGAGAGCGAGAGAGAGAGAGAGAGAGAGAGAGAGAGAGAGAGAGAGAGATGGGGTTGGTGACAGCACTAAGATAATTTATATGCGTGTGACAACAATATGACCACATTGATTGTGCATGTGTGAATGTGTCAGTAAGTTATTTACAACATGTCCCACTGGTTTGACAAGTTACTTGTCTTACTAAGAAGAATTGAACTCAACTGTGCGTACACTAGAATACACCTTATAGACAGACGTCATTTCCCTTCTCTCGCTCTCTTCTATGGCTCTCTGCACATTTGAAAATGAAGGTCAAACTTTAGCTCCCAAGTTGTTTTGCAGTACATGCGTATACTGCGCTTTGTCAGGCAGTAAGTCAGGCAGACACAGAAACTTCCTGTTTGCACAGACCAATTTCACATTAACAAATTAGCAGTTCAGAGTGTCACTCAGACAATATCGGGACATTCTGATGTGGAATTTCCAAATCAAAGTCCTCTCAAATGTCAAATAGTCTACGAGCTGTGTTCCCTCTAAATTCAGATACGTTTAGAATGATCACGCTCGTGTGATCATATGCATTAATTGGTTAAATCAAACGGTTATGTCATTCTATAGAAATAGGAAAATATCAAAATATATATCATATATCCCGGTATAGCCTAAACATATCTTGATATTATTATTATTCATCGCAAAGCTCTAAGTCCAAGCTAATGATTTCAAACTTAAAAAGGGTTGGTGACATTATTGTTTTACATATGTATGTGACTTACTGCATACCAGTGGAACCCAGTTTAGTATATTGAGCATCAATTTTATTATTTTATAGTTAATTTTGCACAGATTTGCCATATAGCGATATACTGTTTATTGATATTAGACAAGTCAGGTCTTTTCTGTTTTTTACCATGTTGTTTCTGTTTTTTACCATGTAAAGTGTCTTTAAGTATCTTTTAAAGCGCTATACAAATAAAACGTATTATTATTAAACTTCGGAGAGAAATAGAAGAAGGAAAATAAAAGCAGAAGAACTTCAAGAGGAGCTACCAACTGGTTCCAACAAACTGTAGAGGATTACATCAATTCACCTACTGTAACAGTACTTCACATTTTAACATTTTATTTCCTCAACTTTGTACCCAGTATCAGTATGACGGTACCATGGCATGAATAAGTGTTTTAATGGGAATGTAAATAGTGTGTGAGTGCAGCACAGCCTGCTAATTATCCCAACCAAACGTTCCACCACTTCAAAGCTTCTGCTGTAATTACAATGCTCTGAGGTGTGCCCGACCCACACAACCAGAGGCTTCTCAAGCTTCTCTGTCACATGCACACACACAAACGTACATTCTGTACAGACATCCACACAGTACACACACGCACACACAAACAAGCTCAGACAAATTGCTTTAGCTATTATCAGGCTTAAATGATATTATGGAAAAAAAGGAAGTGGGATGTGTGGGTAATTTTGCTACACCCAGGAGAGCACCCCTCTCATTTCTACCACTTATTCCTTCCTTCCTTCCTTTTTTCCCTCCTTCTCTTAATCCTGCTAGGTCACACAAAGCTGCTGTTGCATTATTTGTATGTCTAAAATATATTTAACATGCATGTAATATATACACAGTCTTTTATTTGTATCATCTCCCACAAATTCCCACATCCACAGTGCATCTAAGGCCAAGTATCACCTCAGATTTAATCTTGATTGAGTTGGGCATGACATTGTTTATAGATGCGTTGTTGGTACAGGCATAGGTTGGTACAGGTAGCTCATATTGGTGCCAGATAAAATAATTATAGAATTGTCAGCAGTTTCTGAGATTACAATATCTCCTCCGATTGGCAGTTTTTCTCTTGCAACAGGGCTGAGAGATAAAGTTGCACACATGCCAAGAATGATCTTTTTATGTCCTCCCTTATGAGACGTAACTGTCCCTTTTTTGTCACTTTTTTGGAAAACAATTCTCATCTGACAGATGGACCTGTTGCTGGGTTTCAAAATAATCTCTCTAAATCTGGCTTGGATAATTTTTATGTTGACACTGAGATGCAACATGGCAAGAAAGAAAGAATGAGGAACAAAAGGACAGAAGAAAGGAAGGAAGGACAGAGGGTCAGGAGGAAGATAAACATGAGGGAAGGGCAGGAATAAAGAATATATGAGGGAAGAGATATAAAGTAGAAAGGAGGTTGAGAAAAAAAGAGAAGAAGGAAGGAAGAAAGGAATAAAATCCAATAGATACAAATAAATTAATAATCTAAACAGCAAACATAAAAGTGTGCAAGAAAGAAGACGGGAGGGAGGAAGGAGGAAACATGCCACTCAGCCAAGAACGAGTTCTGTGGATAATGACTGACAAGGTGCCTGCAGGGCGTGCGGGCAAGAGAGGTGGTGGGGGGGGGGGATCCTGAACAGAGCTGCAAAAAAAAGAAAAAAAAAAAAAAAAAGGCAACAGTTTCTCCCCTGAGGAGTCGGTCTTTTCATCTGGCCGCTCACTGGCGCCTTCACAAACCTCTGATTGTCTGTGAAATAACCCCACTTTAATAAGGCAGCAGTAGCAGCCTCCTGGGAACTGCTCCACAGTCTGCCATAGACAAGCCACTCAGGCCTGCTGGCTACATGTATAAATGCAGGAGAAAATCAAAAGCAAGTTTCTACTGGGTATACATCTATCACGGGGATGTTGGGAAATGTATGCAGTGTGTCCTTTTTAAAGAATGGGTGTATTGAAAAGCAGAGAGCTTTAAGAAAAACATGTGAAAAGCAACCTATTCTTGTGGGAGGCTGTTATAGTCACGCACTGTAGGCTGTGTATGAAGGACACACACACACACACACACACACACACATTGCTTCTACCACTTAGACAGTTACATAATATGAGTGTGGATCAGGCCTTGTGATGTTAAATAGCAATTAATCATCATTGAGCGGCAGAACGGTTCCAATTATCAATGGAATGGGTGTTAATGGTCAATTAGGCGAAAGATAAGAAAAGTACTTAAACAAGCATGACCATGGGACAAAAAAGTCTTAAGACAAGTGAAACATCCTTTCAGCATCACATATTTCCACCATCATCAAAGGACTGTTTCTTCAGATAAACTGCTGCAACAAGTTAAGTTTTCCATGAGGGGTCAGGCACTTTCATCTGACATAACATGGAATTGTCCGTGAAAAAAATCACAATGAGTTACTTCATGAGGATCACAATGAGCAACTTCATGTCTAATGTGCGTGAGGAATAGGATTGAATCATAGGATACATGGGGATGTCTCATCTAGATTGCGCCTCTGACACCAGCTGGACCGCACCAAAACCTTTAAAAACGGAATCTGTAATTTACTCCGTAATTTGAGTGTGACACCCTTAGCACACAACAGTCTTGTGAGCTACAATGGAAAGTCCCAATAAAGAGAAGAGCAAACAAACCAGAGAGGCAGATAAAGAAGAAAAGGGATCAGTATTTCATCCCGGGTGTAATTCTCCATAATTATCCACATGGGGCCTGTGTTTACACACGCAGTCTCATGAGGTTAGAGTTAAAGCGAATCCATTACTGACGCTTAACTTGTGATAAGGATGTGGGACAGCTATCGTTTTTATTTTGCAGCTAACCTCCGGTAATTCTCTTATTTAACCCAAAAGGCAACATGAGGGACTATATCCTCAACTTTTCAAAGAAAGTTTCACTGAAAAAATAAAGATAGACATTTAAAAGGCAGAAAAGTAATTATTGTAGAAATTTCTCAGTTGATCATGTTTAAAATTAATTACATAAAGATGGAATTTAACATTACATGTATAAATGTTTGCTTTCAAGCACTCCACCTTACCTGCATGGGAAGTGGTTTGGTCACCTCTTAATAATAATTATAATAATGACCAACATTTTGCAGGATCTGTTGCACTGCACAACCCAAACCAAAACAAGAACCGTTAGTTTCCGACTGTCCCTGAAGGCAGCATCTTGCTCAGTCGTAAACATTTTGGGCTGCACTGATTGGTCAAAGTTGAGCCGTGACAGCGTGATGCGTCCACATACTCCCACATACTAACTGACAGCTCCATAACATAGCGCTCGCCGGAGCGGCTCTCACCTGGCCGCCCTTTGACTGTTCCGCTCGGAAGTTCACCTGCTTTTCGGATGAGACTCGGAGGACAGATGGCTTCTCAGGAGACCTCCAACGACCTGGGGTGCAGTTCGTCCGAGGAGGACAGTAACCGTGCGGACTTGACGGAGAGCGCAGCGGAGGAGAAGACATCTCCGGTGGTGCGACGGCATCATCATCCGTTCAGCGTGGAGGCGCTGATGTCCGGGAGGAAGACGGACGCTCGCGGCGGGGAGTCTATCCGCCGTAAACTGGAGGGAGCCTCGGTGTCGGTGTCTCCAACCGGTTTGAACTCCCTGTATCTGTATCGAGAGACGTGTAGCCCTCCCGGGGGAAGCCAGAAGAGCTTAACGGCTGTGCCTTCGTCGCCGGTAAAATCCGAGGCATCAGAGTCGGAGGACTGCGCACCCTGGGTCACCAGCAGCGCGTTTTCCACACAGCCTCGTAAGTTCTTCCTACACCATGCAGCATTTTGTAAAATTGTATAGTTATACAAAAAAAAAAAAAAGGTTTGAATAATTAGCCTATACGTGGCAATTTGAGTGAAGAGGACAAACTTAATTGATTATCAGCCATGTTTGGTGTGGGGGGGGGGGGCAGTTTACAGGTAAATAATTTAGTCTCCACATGTCTCCTGTTGGAAAGTGTCGTTTAAAGAAAGGCTTAACAGCCTAAATAGAAAGTGAACCACACTCTGAATCCCTCCGATATTCAGTATATTAGGGGTTAATGTTTGTGGGAGTAGACTACCCCTGACACGTCTAAAATATGTGTTATATAAAAAAAAAGAGGCCTTTTAAGAAAAAAAGTGCATCCTGATGTTCAACATGAGGTTTATTTGGTTTAACCATTTATGTTCAAAACGGATCAATATATAGCCTATAAGGAGACATAACATACACAGTTAGTTAATACAATTCTTTGTAAGTCAATTGAATTAATCTTATTCTAAAATCTTTATTGTTTCTTGTCCCAGGTCATGTCGGTCCTGGCTGTCCGTTGAGGAAACACAAGTCCAACAGAAAGCCCCGCACTCCCTTCACCACGTCTCAGCTCCTGGCCCTGGAGAGGAAGTTCAGGCAGAAGCAGTACCTGTCCATCGCCGAGCGGGCCGAGTTCTCCTCCTCCTTGACCCTGACGGAGACCCAAGTCAAGATCTGGTTCCAGAATCGCCGGGCAAAAGCCAAGAGGCTCCAGGAGGCCGAGCTGGAGAAACTCAAGATGGCTGCAGACGCTAAGACGGCGGCGGTGGCGGTCGCTGCGGCTGGAGGTCTACACCCTGGCTTTACGTTACCGCTGTCGCTGGGCATGTCACTGTATGGACAGTCGTACTCTGCCTATCATCACCACCACCACCACCACAGATCCTTACTGCCCATTTCACCTTTAGGACTGTACGCTGCTCCTCTGGGCTACAGCATGTACCACTTATCATAAATGGAAATATCACTGACTATGGTGACATGTGTTCCCAAGGAATCCCAAAAATGGACACAGAAGACGTGTGGCTGACATTTAAAAAAATAAATAAATAAAAATCTATGTTTTTAATATATCTTCTGCACAAGGAGTGTTTGAATCGACTTTCTGAGCACTTCAAGTCAAATACGAAATCTATTTTTTTCCCACAGCAAGGATAAAAGAATAAATAAACGTACTGTAGACGTTCTCTTGCCCGTTTGGACTGCCTGTTTACATGACTTGTCTGAATGAGGAGGGGCGTTGCGGTCCAGCTGTTTATGCTCTTCACTTGTTTACTTTTGCAATAATTGAGCTGGGTGAGGACTTGCACTTCGCACAATAATTCAAAGTACAACTTTTCACTCGAGCCTTTCTCTTCATTCGATGCAGTGCCTTGTGTGTCGAAAAAGAGCGTTAAAGTTAAGACACTTTGTACACGTGGTGATGAGAGTTTCAGCAGCTCAGGCCAAATAAAACATATCACTGAAGCATTCTTTTAATTTCCATTTTACAAAAGTGTTTGCCTTGGAGAAACTGCTCTCCTTTTCAATTTCAAAGACCGACCAATTCAGGTTCGTGTGCTCTCAAAGACGGGGAGGTTTAACCCTGAAATTATCCATCACAATGGCAATTCTACAATAAATTTTTCATCTTTTATCTCTTGCAGCAATAAATAATAATCTTTATCTATAATTATGCTGGAACTGTATGAATGCCTCATCTTGTCTATTTATGTGAGAATATGGTACAAACGTTCTGACCAAAAGTGTATTTATATTGTTCTTCCTGAATGTCCCTTTGAAAGGGCCATACATTGTGCTATGCAGTTTATATATAAATATATATTTTTTTGTCCACCAATGTTTTATCATTCAAATGAACAAAACAATTAAAGCCTTACAGACTGTTTCCTTTGAAATAAATGAATTTTTTTTTTTATGTGTAAGAAAAATAAAGTAGTATATGTGTAAACATGTGCAGTTATGTCCACATAAGATCTTTAAAAGATGAAGTTGTTAACCAGTGAAACCAGCTATATTGTGCATTTTTTTGCAGATACAGTTTGTGTGTGTGTGTGTGTGTGTGTGCGCGTGTGGTTTAATCCCGGGTCTGTTTCCCCATCCATCCGTTTCAGACAGTGGTCAGTTCAAGGCAATGTTTGACGAACCATAAACACTACCCATAAATTATCCAACTTCACAGATAGTTCCCGTTATTACTGAGCTGTCTATTACCACACTTGTCAAACATTGTTTCGGCAGAGATACACTTTTCTAATGTTTTGTTTGTACAGAAATACAGTGTTCTGTGTCTCTGGCAATCATTAACTCTGTTTCATGACCATTACTGAGTTGTTGTAACTTTTGTCAAATCATTCTGAACCTCCCCAGCAACTAGCAGCAACATTTACTGTTCATTTAACTGGAAATAACCCTCTGTTAGTTTGCCTGTGGCAGAGGTGTTGATTGGCAAAACTTTCATGTACTTAAGATTAGCTTACTGGCACGCTAACAGCGTAGCTTGTTAGGAGACATTTATTCATTTGTTAAAGCTCTTATCCCCATCAGGCTTGTGTTCTTCCTGCCTCGTTACATTATATGTCAATGATCCACTGTTGATTCAGGTTTAAATTAGCAGGGGGAGTTTTGTGGCATGTGGGGCTGCTGAAAGGTGCTTTGTTGCAAATTAAAAAAAGCAGCTTCCGACTTCCACGTGACTTTGATGTTACCAGGAAATCGTTTAAAAGCAGCAGCGCATTTATGAGGTTCCCCTTTAATCAGAACAAGGCCGAGGGAGCTGGCAGGCAAAGCGAGTAGCTTACACAGGCAAGCAATCAGCCTAATGGAAGTGCAGATTGGCAGGAATGGCTCAGAGTCTCTTGTGAAACATCAAGTCAGTGCATACTTACTGGAAGGGTGTTGTGTTTCAGTGTTGGAGAATTCAGTAAATTATCTGTCTTTTCGCTCAGAGGGTTGTCGCCGGCGCTGCAGGGGATCCGTTTTTGTCATTGTTAGTTGACGGTCGTCTGACAGTGATTGGGCTTGTTTGTGGTGTTGTATGTCACTTAAACACAACATGTGACTTTGCCCATTTTCCCTGTCTGCATCGTGTCATGTGCTTGTCTCCTACATCCTCTAGTGGCTGCTTGTAATACAGCATCATGGGACAAACCTCGCTCTGTCCCCTTGTTGTTCTGTGAAGTGCCATGCAAGTAAAATTGGTTTAATTTCAGGCTGATAAATAACACAAACTGATTAGTTAGTGAAACTATGAAAGAGGAGCTGATCATTGCAGAGATGGGGAAAGATATTTTTTTAAATGCTCAATTTATGCTCAAATACAGACACTTAGGGACTTATATTATTATTAAAAGTGCATATATTTATATATAGTTAAGCATATTTTCACTCTGTCTGGCCATAGATATGCAATCATTGCATCAATTTGTTGGCTACCTCTGGATATACATGTACTTAATATGTACATACTAATAGTCAGCACCCCACAGTGGTTTAGTATTATGACTGCTTAGCTTTGATATACCTGTAATGTCATCTTTTTTCCTTATTTATTCAAACACATCAGCATAAGCCTCAAGATTCTGCCTGAGGAAGTCTGCTTTTTGGCACAAATTGATTTTCTGTATTCCAGTTTCTGTGGCTTCCTTTTCCATAACACACGATACCCATAATAATGCACATGCAATGGATTAAAAGGTATGTTTTGGTGTGTTGCTCTGTGAAATTTCACACATGTACAGTGAACATACAAAATAATAAGTACATTTAGAGATTAAGAGAGAGGGGGCTGCAACTCTGAATCAGGAAGATGCTCCTAAAAATGTATTGAACATTGTGGGACCACACCCATGACTTTAGTTACAGGACTCACTCCACTACGCCACCGGAGTTTGTTGCACTGTGTTGTAGGAGGCATTCTTCAGGAGGAATCATTCAAGTCAGACTCCCTTCATCTGAACACATAAAACCTCATTACAGCTCAGCTACAAAGATACAGAGTTCAGCTAACCATCAACAGTAAATGTAGAACGAACTAGAAATTTGTATCTCACAGTATATTCTCAGTGTAGTATATTTCATTCTCTTCAGAACACAAAACTAGCATTAGCATTTTCTGCTGCGGCTGATTTGTTCTATTTTAAACTGTTTACAGATACTAATGCAGCCTTGGGCAAGTCCCCCCCCCCCCCCCCCCAGAAACAAAGCAAAACCCCCGTGGGTTTCCCCTTACAGACAAGGACATGATGCAGAAGAATTCTGTTGTGTGTGTGTGTGTGTGTGTGGTCTTTGGAGATATCCCTCGAGAGCCACACAGTAGCAGATGTAGGGAAATTGCCCGGAGCAGGCCAGTGGAAAAGGGGGACGGCCAAAGCTTCTAAAGATCTCGCTGGACCAACACACTCAAATGATGCCCTGTTTCTGTTTCTGTTTCACTGATTCTGGGAAACAGCTTTGGAAACTCTCTCTCTCACCAACACAACAAATAATTAATAATTCAAAAATAATCTTCTCACTTTGGTTTTGTGTTTTGCATTTCAGTCTTAAATATTTACCCAACTGTAATTTAGAATAAGCCCACTTAATAGTTTGCAGTTTCTCAGAACTAATGGATTAGAGCACATGAACAGCAAACACCATGAGTCATAGACACCTTTATTGAAACATAAATCACATGTCAAAAGTAGCCAACAGTCAGTCAATGGGAATACGCAAGGTGCAATAATCATATTCTTCATATTTTGCCGACTTTACTGTTTGCAGCATGTCCAAATGTGCTCGTCCTCGTTCTAACATGAATGCTGTTTTTAACTACTGATACAGTTCCATATACTGCATGTTTGAACCGAAGATTATGTTTAAATCTCACTAAAATCCTCACATGAGACACGCATTTATGGATTAGGCCTTTAGTCATTCTCTGAAGGGGAGCTGCTTGTGTCTACGAGACGTTCACACAACGAGCGACAAAGCAACAGGATAAAAGTCATTTTCAATTAAAGCTGGTGATACGAAGCTACAAAACTCACAACCGACACTTGTCACTGCGACGCGCTACAAATCAAAGTTGAGCTGGCCTCAACTTTATTGAGCGCTCCAAGGACGCGCGAAGCATCAGCCAATCATAACTTTTTCTTTCAATATTTCCAGTCCCCTTCTCTTTCCCCCAGTTCCTGTTACGTCCATGCAATAGAGGAAAAACATATTTGTTGTTAGCCACTTCTCAGTGTTATTTAACAGCATAAATATATCACAAGCTCTCAAGCGATATTTCAACTGTAAGTCGATAACATAGCTGGCCACACTTGGCCATTTTGCAGCTTTGTTGCTTTTGCTGTGAACATAGCATGAGGCAGAATATAGTTTGATTGGAGCACTAATATAGATAGATAGATAGATAGATATGTACTTTATTCATCCCCAGGGGGAAATTTGTAGACAAACACAAGATGATTTTCTAGTCTGACGATTAGTTAAGGGCATCTTTCGGTTTGTTTATGAGCAGTCACTTGAGGAGTGTTATAAAATGACTTGATCAACAGTGTTTACACATTGACAGACACACTAATAAGGCTTATAAACAAGAAGGATCTACACTTTAACAGCATATTTAATGCTTCTCTGTCACAGTCATGCTTAGATTCATGTCTTAGCTGTGGTGAAATCAAAACTCAAAGAAGTTTTTGAAAGCACTGGTAAATGGCCATTTATATCACTTACACAGTTGCTTCGACGTCGTGAATAAGCCGTTAATGCAAATGTGATGCTCACCGATGCTCATGCGCTTGGTGAGGACGCTAAGAAACTGATGCCGATTTCTGCGTTTGATTGGTTTTAAAAGAAAGTTCTTCAAATAAAACTTTGAGTGGATATGGTAAAGTGGTTAAGATAGTCTATTGTATGTTGCACCTGAAATGTTGTATTTTCTGAAATGAAGTTGTGTTTTGTTAAATGTCATTGTGTTTTGACCCTCAGGGCCACCGTATTATTTTGAGGGAGGACACATAACACTGCTGTTTGTGAAATCACTAGCAGAGAGAAATGCTCGACTACACCAGTAATGTGTTCCAGAGATAGTTTGATAACATATGTGTTGGCATTTTATAAACGATATTATACAGAGATATGATGGGGATGGAGATTCTCTCTTAATTAGATCTAGTAACTATGTTTTCAGTTTTTCAGTTAGATCAGAAGGCAGAGAGGCTATTTCATTGTAATGTGGCAGTCAGCCTGAATGAACAGCTTGGAATTTGAAAGTGTTTTTTCCACTTTCAATGCAAATTCAGAGGCATTTCCATCCTGTTACAAATCAAATAAATGTGGAAAACATCACAGTAAGCCCCTGGCATATGGGGGATTGTTTTAGACAGTGAAAATAATTATTGTTTTTAAAAAAAAGTAGGCTGTCAATGACAAACCTCGTAGCCCACGCAGCTCTGTGACAAAGCA